CTAGTGTGGATTCAGGCCCACGGGGGGCACCATTCAAGCTCCGCTCACCCACTCCAGACCCAACCTAAAGAACAAAGCACAAAGACTGGGGGCAGAGCCAACCCAAAGCCCCACCCATGTTACCAAAGCCAGACTCCATCCCGTGAGCCTTACCAACAACTGAGGCATCACCCACCTTGGCAAAGACACGGAGGCGGCTGCTGGGGTCACGCGAGGTTGTCACCATCACCTTGGGGAGCTCCAGCCCTGCCCACCGGTACTCATCGTCCTGGCTGCCCGTCACACCTGGGGGTAGGCCTTGGTTAGGACACCCTCCTCAGCAGGGAGTACGCAGGCAGGGCAAACCCAGCCCCCCTGGGGAGAGATTCATGAAAATCTCTCTCTAATTTTTTAGAACTGGGCAAATTCTCTCCCTCTGTTGAGGAAGATTCAGCCAAATTCATTCTTTGTCTTGAGAGAAATTGAGGAAAACCTGTTTGTCACTTTAGGAGAACCAGTTTCTCAGTTTAGGAACAACTCAGGTGAATCTCCGCAGGTTGAGGTTGATTCAGCCTAATCCACTCCCAATTTTAAGAAAAAAATAGGACAAATCCGCTTCCTGTTTTGGGGAAGAATCATAAAAGCCCACTCTCCATTTGGGGAGGAATTTGGACACACTGCCATTCTGAGAGGAATTGAGGAAAATCTGTTCTCAGTTTGCAGGGGAGGGTCATAAAAACGTGCCCTCCATTTCAAGAGAAATTGAGGAAATCTGCTCCCCCACTTTGGGGAACATTCAGGCAAATCCACTCCTCATTTTGGGCACGACTTGGGTAAACGTAATTTTGCCAAAATCACAGCAAATCCCCCAACTGTGAGAATGAAGCAAACCTATCCTTCGTTCTGAGGAGAATTCACCCAAGCACCCTTCTAATTATAGGGTCCATCCAGGTAAATCACTTGCTCCTTAGGGTCACAGATTTCTGCCAATCCCTGCCTCATTTCTAGAGCATCTTGGTGCATCCTCTCACTCACCATTTTCCCCCGGTGTCTCAAACTCCAGCTCCTTCTGCAAGGCCAGCGCCTGGCGCCTCAGCTCAGTGGGCAGCAGTCGGTTCTCTGGGGAGAGGAAACAAAAATTGAGTGGGAGAATGGGGCGGAAGGAACCCCAGATACTCCATAATCCAAACCAGAACCCCTTTAAATCTTCCCCTCTACATTCTGCAGGCCATAGTGCCTCTTTTACATTTGCTCCTGCACACCCCAAATTCACCCCTTATGTGATATTTCCCCTCTCTACACCCCCAACTCATCCCCCATGCTCCTCACTTGCCCCCACATCCACCATGTTTACCTCACCAACCACCATTTTGCCTCTCAAAACCCTGTCTCTGCTCCACAACATTCTGTATTTACCTCTACTTCCTCTCCACGAGTTTGCCCATCAGCCTATATTTGTTCCACTTATCCTATGTTTCCCTGTCCACGTCTGTCTCTAGAGTCCCAATACTTACCCCTGTAGCCCCATCTCCGCCTTCCCACCCAAAATCTGCTCCCTCTGCACCCCTAACTTTCCCCTCCATATGCCCTGTTTGGCCCACACGTGCTTCCTCCGGACCCTGTATTTGCTGCCACATATTTGCTCCCACATACCTCACATCTGCCCCCACACCCTGTATTTGCCCATTAGATCCCACATCTGCTCCCATGCACCACAAATTTACCCTCATCCACACACCATAACTTACCTCTCATCCCGTATTTATTCCCACAGCCCCCATATGAGGGGCCCACACCCCTCATCCGCCCCTCGGCACGCTCTATCTGCTCCCTCTGCCCCACATTCGCCCCTCACCATCCAGGGCCTGTCGCAGCTGCTCCTTCTTGTCCTGCTGCCGCCGCAGCCGCTCCTCCTGCGCCCGGCGCTGCAGGTACTCACGGCGCTCACGGGCCTGGCGCCGAAGCTAAGAACGGGGGAACGCGGTGACAGCCAGGGAGACGGGAAAGGAGGAGGTGGAAGCGGGGCGACGGAGGGGCGCAAGAACGGGGAGAGGACGAAGGGCGGCCGCGGTGACAGCGAGGGGGCCAGAGCGACAACGGCGGGGGGGTCACGGGGGAAGGAGAGCTGAGGATCCTGCGGAGGCACGCGGGGACACCGCCGGAGACACGGGACGCCGAGGGCTCGCGACAGGGACGCGGCGAGGGGACAGGGAGACCGAGAAGGGACGCGGAAACGTTAACGGGGACTCAGGGACGCCGAGAAGGAGCCGTAGCAACAGTCCGGGGAACGCGAGCACGCTAAGGGGGGCCGTAAAAAGGGACGCGGGGACCCCGAGAAGCACCGGGGCGCTGAAGAGGAACGCGGCGGCACCGAAACGGCCTCGCGGACCTGTGGTACCGAGGGGACGTGGAGACACCAAGCAGGGCGTAGAGAAGGCGCGGGAGACGCGCGGGGGCGGAGGAAGGGGACGCGGAACCGTCGGGAGGGGAAAAGGGGCGCCGAGGGGACGAGAGACGCCGCAGGGACAAAAAGGAACCCCGCGGCCCCACCGCCTCGTACCATGGCCGCAGCCGCGCCGCTCTCTCCTCGCGTCGGCGCCTCCAAACACCGCCGCCGTTGATTGGATCGGACAGCGAGGACCAATCGGAGCGCCTCGTGCTAGCGAGGCGCCTCCAATATGGCGGCCGGGGACGGCGGTGCGGTGCCCTCATCCAAAATGGCAACCGAGCGGGCTTCGCTCGCTTGGCAGCCGGCCCCCGGCGAGTTCCCGCCCAGCGCCGCAACGCGCGCGTCGATTGGTGAAACGGCGGAAATCACGGCTTCGATTGGAGGAGGCTGTGGCAGGAGCGAGGCGGAAGAGGCGGGCAGAAGTGTGGGGACGGCAGCGTGTGTGTCGTCTCCTGTGGGGTCACGCTGACCCCCACCTTTTCTGGTAGGATCTCCGTGTCTGTTTACACGGGGTTATTTTTGGGCAGGACTCCCAGAGAATCATAGAAACATCCCCTGGTGGGGTTTGTTTACAAAGGTGGCTTACAAGGCTCTTGAAATATCCGGAGTTTACTTGCACAAGAGCACACTTAAGGCTCTCTTAGCCATGACTGCAGTCCGCTCTTCTCTGTTCTTAGC